TAAGGGGGACTTGTAGAAGTTTATAAATACATTCTCCCCTTATAAAAGAATATAATCATTTGCTCTGATTAATCCTATCCGAGCTAACACTCTTCACTTGTAACATTTTTCTTGATATAATGAATTCTACTCCTCTTGCCCATGATTTTTTCCATTCTTTGAGTTTTCACATAAAATGTTTCTTTTATTGCTCATTGCTTCAATTTTATAACAATAAAAATAACAATTATAATAGGTAAAGAATATTGTATACCCCAACAAGCTGTAGAATATAATGTTCAATATATAACAATACACAGGATAGTCACTATGGAACATGATGAAGGATACCACGTAACAATATAAGATAGACATAACAATAAGGCGATAGCCCAAACTCTAACCCATTAAGGTATTGTCCACTTTGGCCTAGTGATCTCATGATTTTGCCTCATTGGTGTAACTTCACAGGAGGCCACCCATCCTAGGAGTGATCCAAAATGAGTACACTTAACTTTCAAATTTCTAATGAAATTCCACCATTATACCTAGAGACGTCTTGATTTTAAGAGTACAGCTTCAATATACTTAAGGGGTTTCACAATCTCCCCCACTTAAGTAGCTGACATCCTCGTCAATTTTCTTACCCAGAATCATCCACCAGCATATAGAAGTCTAGAGGTGACACTTACAGATTCATATCTAAGGTTCAACAGGTGGCTCTTATAGCGTAGCACTTTATTCTATATGACACTTAATTCTCATTTTTCGGCTGGTATTATACTCTGATACGATTTGTGACAGCCATAACTTTTAAACATCGAGGCGCTTTTTTGTGTAATAGTAGAATTTCATTAGAAAATGTAAAGTTAAGCGTTCATGTTTTGGAGCATATAGCATAAATGACCTCCTGGGAAGTTACACCAATGGGGAAAAAACATGAGGCCGCTTAGCCCAAAGCGAACAATACCTTTATGGGTGAGAGTTCAGCTTATCACAAATTGAATCGGAGAATTACGCCAACAGGAAGATGGGAACTAAGTGTCACGCAGAACAAAGCGCTACACCTTGGGAGTTACCTCTTGAACCCTTGATGAGATAAAGTACTACATGGTGGGAGCCATTTCTTGAATTTATAGGAGTTGTCACAAATAATTATGATAGCCGAAACTCTCACCCAGCAAGGTATTGTCTGTTTTGTCCTAATGGCCTCATGGTTTTATGCGGTTAATATAACTTCTCAAGAAGGCACCCATCCTATGAGTGCTCCAACACGAGCAGGATTAATCTTGGAGTTTCTAATGAAATTCCATCGTTGCACCTAAAGGGGTCTTGATGTTTAAAAGTATAGATTCATTCTACTTAAAGGATTTCACAATCTCCCCCACTTAAGTATCTAATGTCTTTATCAGTGCTCAATACCCAGAGTCATCCACCGGGCAAGTAGGACTCTAAGAGCCACTCCATAAATGCAATTAATCTTTATTCTAATAGTACTACATGCCACTTGTTTGATGCTTTAAATACTTGAAAATCTCTATTATTGTGGCTTGCTTCTTGCAATAGAAGCAAGTCTAGCTCCAAGAGACAACCGTGCCTGTAGAAGCAGGCCCCTACTCCAGTGTCCCAATTTTCTTTGTAAACACCATCAAACATAGAAATTGCATCTTTACATAACATTTTTTTTTCTATTCATCTCTTCTAAACTGATGGTATTTCCTTCCAAATAATATAACATAATGAAAATCCTTCTAAGAGTAGATAAAGAGCACAAAAATAACAAAGTCTATTTTCATCATTAACAATAGCATCAAAAATCACAAATAATTGCAGTTCAGTGAGTAAGATGTGCCTTAATTTGGCTTAGCTTCATGCATACAAAGAAGGAAACATGTAGCTATGCTTCAACAAAGCCAATATCCATGAAAGAGAGGATTTAAGGCCCGTTTAGGGCAGCTCATTTGGCGCAGAACATTCTTAAAACACCCACTGAATCTTTTGGAAACAGCGGTTCGAAGTGTGGGCCGCAGGTTCGACCACGCAACCCGCGTTTCTCGCGGCAGCAGTCCTTAAAAATTTATGTTAAAAGTGGGCCGCAGGTTCGACCACGCAACCCGCGTTTCTTCGCGAACCTTACTCTACTACCCTCGCGCTCCCCTCTCGTCATTGCCTTCTCTCTTGCATTTCTTATGCTCTATTCACGCCTCTCTCGATTGCTCCTCTCTCACGCATCTTTCTGAGGCAACGAGTTGTCTTTCTCCTTTCCCTCTTCCCTCTGATCTCTGGTGAAAACGGGCTGCCTCTCTACTCTCCCTCTACCCTCCGATCTTCGACTCTCTCTCTGCTTACTGTGCAATCACCTATTTTTATCGATGAAATGACTCTCCCTTTGCGATTTGTAGCTTTATCATTTGTGGTTTGAAGTGAGAATTCGGATTTTTCTATTTCTGGCTTTCTCATTTGCGATTTGAAGTGAGAATTTGGATTTTTGTGATTTGTGGCTTTCTTTTTGTGATTTGGAATTTGAATTTTGCAAATTTAGGACTGAATGTGATGTTGAATGGGGTTTTATCTATACTTTTGATGTTTGAGAGAGAATTTGAGAAATAGCTGAAAGAGGGTACTTGCTTTATTGATAGCAATGTTTCGGGTGCCCTGTGTGTAGTAGTCTCAAATGAAAAATATGGGGTGGGGTTTTATCTTTACTATTGATGAGTGAGAATTTGAGAACTTGCTGAAAGAAGGTGCTGGATTCGTTGATGGCAATGTTTCGGGTCTTTGTATGTAGTAGCCTCAAATGAAAAATATGGGGTGGGGTTTTATCTTTACATTTGATGTTTGAGTGAGAATTTGAGAAATGGCTTAAAGAGGGTGCTTGATTTGTTGATAACAAAGTTTCGGATGCCCTGTATGTAACTGCCTCAAATGAAAAATATGGGGTGGGGTTTTATATATACCTATGACATTTGAGTAAAAGTTTGAGAAATGGTCGAAAGAGGGTGCTTGATTTGTTGATAGCAATGTTTTGGGTGTCATGTATGTAGTAGCCTCAAATGAAAAATATGGAGTGGGGTTTTATCTTTACCTTTGATGTTTGATTGAGAATATGAGAAATGACTGAAAGAGGGTGTTTGATTTGTTTATAGCAATGTTTCGGGTGCCCTATATGTAAGTGTTTTGTAATGTTTTGTACCTGATATTTGTTTTTAAAGAATAGAATGCACCGGTATGAACAATTCTATTGTAAACAAGATTACTATACAGGGGCAGACTGATCATTTGTTCAGAAACAGTTGTAGCACGGTTGTTTTCAAACTGTAAAAAACAAACAAACAGTCAATTTTCGCGCAACAGCTTCCTGTGACATCTACTACGTAACAACTTAGTATTAAGCTGCAGCTGCCCCAAACAAACCCTTAATCTACTATCGATAAAGCACAAAAGTTGTTTGTAAGAAAAAAAGAAACGGTTACCAACCTATCAAAATCTCAAGTCCATCCTCTCGCAAACAAAAAAGAAGATACCAAGAAACCTTCATAATAGGTTTACCTCAATGTTCTTCTACTTCTCCCATGCAATGTTGAAGCTATCAATCCCTCAAGAAACTATAGAATCAAGAGGGTACTTAAGGAATATGAAATAACTTTAATCATCTTGTGTTAACCCAAAGCCAAGTGTTACACAACTATTGTCATAGGTAATAAAATCAATGAACACAATGAAGTAAATCCAATTCTCGATTCACATTCTACCAAAATGCAAAATATGCAAGGCAATACTTTATGTATATAGTTTACTAAACTTAGTTAAGTCGAATATAAATGTGGTTGCATGTACCTAAAAGCCATTTGTAATCTTTTTTTTATTCTTTTATTTATTTATGTAATGTTTTAAATAAAAATAGCTTCGATATCTTAAATATAACTTATTTTTTTTTATTAATAGAGCATAAGTTAATTTATTTTGCAATTTAAAAGAAGGTAATGGCACCACAATTGATGATGTTATAGACCAGACCAATGTGTCGTCGGCTTCAGCATAGGGTTGATGGGCAACTTCAACACTGGTTTGGTCAGCGCAAGGCAGGTTCGTGCAGTGCACAATGTACGAGTTCATGTTTTCAAAATATTGAAAACACCTCAAATTATGTTGAGTGTTTTAAAAAATAATTTGATCCATTTCTAAAAATAAAAACACTTATAAACCACTAGTTATGTTTGGTCAAAATGTCCAAAAACAAAAATAAAAATAGAAACAAAGAGTGATCCAAATTAGCCCTTAAAAATTAAATTGGCTTTCATGATAATGTAAACCCTCTCAAAACCACCTTAACCGGAGGTTTGGCTGCAAGTCTGGATTTAAGTTAAATAGGATTTAGTAAATCTGGTAAATTCGGTAAATCCAGATTTAACAAATATAAATGTTATTAAATATGAATTAATGTTTGGTTCAATTAAATGTTAAATCAATTTGTTGTGTATGGCATAAATCTATTAGAAATATTTTTTTCATGCGCTAAATATGTTAAATCCAACTAATAAGTGAATTTAATAAATTTTTAAAACGGAACAAAAAAAATTTGGATTTAACTTATCCATGGATTTATCTAACCTATTTATGGTGTTTCGTTGGATTTAAGTTAAATCTAACTTAAATCCTTTTAAACCTATCATGCCAAACACCCCCTAAATGTAATGACTTTATTTTCATAAAAAATGAAATAACCATTTTTTAAAATATGTTTTCAACTAAAAGCAAACAAATGAGCCCTTCGAGAATATACAAAGCATGGCAAAGTGATCAAGGTTTCCATCGCATCTTCTCTTCTGAACAAATCTCGTCCCTAAACAGTTGAATTCTAAATCAAGTTAAAGCCTTGCATTTCCTCTTCATAAACTCTCCCAAAACGTCTTCATGAGAAAATCCTACAGATAGCTCCAAGCTCACTCAGCCAATTCTATACATAATTTTCATGTCCAATCAAACTAATGAAACAAGATTCAAAGGCCTGATTGGCTAACCACTTTCAGGAGGAGCCGCCGAAGTTGAATCCTCTCAATTCCGGACAGCTTCTGCGCCACAGAATCACTGATTCCAGCTAAAACCCCAGCCGTGATTGCCTGTAAGCCAGTCAAACATACGAATAAAAATCTTAAAAAAAAAAAAACCTGTCCATCAAATCAAAGGATTCTCTCTCAAAACAAAAAAAGAAAAAAACAGAAAAGAACCTTCGTCCTAAGCGGATGAAGCTGGAGCTGAAGCATGTACTGCTCCCATCCCTTCTTTGCCACCGCCGCCATTGTCACCAAAACCTATCTCCTCACAGTTGATTTTGGGAACACAAAGAAAAACGACGACCGCCGGCGGAGGCCACAGGCTACAAGCCCAATTCCGAGGGGGCTCGCCCGTGGACTCTCTCGAAGATAAAATCTTAGAAGTCGTAAGAATCCTCGCCGCGACCAGGTCCGCGAAGGTTTGTCGTCGTCAAGTGCCCGGCCGGCAGACCCTGGCCGCTGCGGGCGGCATGATTTAACGGCTTTTCATTCGGCTATTTAAATTCGGAAATTTACATCCATAGCATCCAAATTTTAATTTTTACAAGCTCGGGCTATTTTATTTTATTTAAAAATATAGGAAAAGGTTAATTATATTTTTCTATAAACAAAATATTTTGTATGCAAAAATAAAAATTTAGATGTGAGAAAAATAAATACATAAGAATTAGGTGTGATGTATTTAAATTTCACTTTTAAATTATAGGAGCATTTACATACATGCCACCCAATTATTATTATTATTATTATTATTATTATTATTATTATTATTATTATTATTATTATATATATATATATATATATATATACATATATATTACTTAATTAAATATGACCCAAATGATATAATAATATTAAATATAAAAAAGATAAATAATTAAATATAATCATGTAATAGTATAAAAAATCCTTCATGAATATTTGTATTAATTTTTTTATAAAATTTAACTCAATTCAAATTTAAATCAAAATGATTTTAAATTCATTCATTTATTGCAATCAAATTTAATTCAAAAAAATTTCTACCTCGTCTTCTATTGCTTTATTTTCATCTTCAAATTAAATTTACAACCTTACTTAATTAATTCAAATTGAACTACACTAAATGAGAAGATTACTTCTAATTCTCCGTATTTTTTTTAATCATCTGTATACTTATAACTTATAATTACTTCCCTCCATTCTTGGAGGGGTCAAGTCACGTCATTGCACCATACATCATTTAATTTGTCTAAGCTTCAAGCTACATTTTAACCTAACCAATCAAATCATGTTCAATCGCAGCTACATAAATTGCCCCACCAGGTTTTTCTTCATTGTCTTTGGCTGAAATTGCTAATCATTTGTCTTGTTGCCTTTGATTCTTTTGTATCATTGTAATTCTTTATGCATCTGCTTTTGAAACATTACATGTTTAAGATTTATGTGATGTCTGACATTTTGTAATTCTTTATACATCTGCTTTTTCACATATTTAGCATTTGACATCGGCCTTTGGAGTTATGCGACCTCCTCCTCTACCTCGATTTAGAGGATTGAGACCTCTGCTAGAAGTTGAATAGGATCCCCAACATTCGGATTTGCCGCGAAAAATGTTTAAAGCAAATGTGAGATCTGATGTTATGGAGAGTTGAGCAGCTCTAGCAACTTCATTAGCGAGGTTTGTTTCCTCATTATACAACAAAGCATACAAAGCATCAAGACTCAAGGGTTTGGGGCTCGTTCTAATGATTCAGTACAGGGAATGGACTATTGGCTCGCTGTTGTTGTGGATGATGGAGACGTGGGAGTCGGATGCATGCGAGAAACTATAGAATTTCACAGGAAATTTGGAAGATAAATGTATGGAGAAAATCTTATAAATGAAGTTAGAATGCATTCAGACTTCATATACGATATTGTTATACAAAATACATATAACTTGTACGACAGTGTTGTACACGCAGTCTTGATGAATCCATACTAAGCAAGTAATATTTTCCATGTTGTATCATACTTATATACAATGATAAAATATATATATATATATATATATATCGAACATAAGCTCCGGTGTTCCATACAAATCCTGGTTTTGGCACTCCAGTGGGAGTAATAAGCGAAGCAATGGCTTTCTCCCTCGGAAGTTTGACGGCCTTCAACACACTCTCCTCCACCGCTCGGATCCATAAACCAGCTCTCTACAGAGAACCTCAACAGCGGGCGTCACGTTTCTTCTCCTCGAATCGCTCCTCCTCTCCCTGCAGTTCGGCTTTCCTTTCTCTCCGCCCACTTTTTTCCCCTTCACCTCTTCGCTCTCCCAGATGGAACCCAGCGGCAGCGGAGTCGGAGGACGCGCCTCAGGCGGAGTCGCCGGCACCGGAGCCCGTTGAAACTCAGATAGAGGCTGCTGCTGCCAGTTCTACTCGCAAGGGCGAGGATGTCTTCGCAGTTGTGATGGTACGATGCTCGAATTTCTTCTGGAGGTTTTTGTGTTTTTCTTAACTCAGGCTTCTATTTCATCTCGTTATTTCTGAATTGTTATTAGATTGGCTCGAGACAGTACATTGTCATCCCTGGAAGGTTTATCTACACTCAGCGGCTAAAAGGTGCTAATGTTAATGATAAGGTCAGTTGATTGGTGCTGTCAATGGCTGTTAGAGTGCTTGAGTATTATCGTTTTACAAAGTCAGTACCAAGTAATTGTGAGCTGCTCGTGGCAGTGATGATAATTTCATTAACTAAACTAGATATAAACCTCATGATATGCAGACATCAAACGCTTTTTTCATTCTACAATTACTCCAGGAACGATCCGCTAACAATAATTCGCTTTTTTTGTTCCTTGATGTGTGCGTTAATACTTGTATTTAGGATAGCTTAAATTAGAAACAATGCAGACTGATGATATCTCCTTTAGTTTTATATTATTCAAGCATGAAGATTTTATTGCTTTAACTGCACAAATAGAAACTAAATGAAAATGATTATATTAGGATACCCTTATACGTTTTGTATTAGGATGTGGATGCATAATGTTAAAATGCAAAAATGCTATTTAGTATGGAAGGTGGTAGTGAATGAAGGCATGGTAGGAGTGGATCTTGGTCATTTTGGAATTAAGAGTGGAGACCAAGCATGTATTTGTATGAAACGCATTGGTGGAGAGTGGTGATAAATGGAAAAAGAAATGTTACCATTGAAAGCAAATTGCACGATTCATTCTTGCTTGAGAACAAGATATAAATAATATTTTCGAGACAACTCAACAAAGCTCTCTTGAGGGAGTCATATTATCCAAATGTCTTCTCTATTACAAGGCTACCCCTTTTTATAGTCATTTCATGATAATTAAAAGAATATAATAATTCAATAAATTCTTTCATGGGGTTTGCCATACCATCAAGAAATTTAAAATTGTATATATTAATGTATCATTGGTATAACTCATCCTTATTTTAAGTCTTACTTCATGGGGTTCGCCAACGCAGGAGTTTGTGAAGGCGAAGCCAATCGCGGTTCGCTGCAGGCTGTTCGCCGGAGGAGAAATCTAGAAGATGCGGAGGCTGGAGAAAGGAAAGTTTTTTAAATTCAATTAATTAAAAGAAATATTTTAATTAAGGGGGACTTAATTAAGGAAGTTTAATTAAGGGAAATATTTTATTTTTTTTTCAAAAAAAAAACTTAATTAAGGGAATTTTTTAAATCCTTATTTGAGAAATATTTTGAGCAAGCAATTGTAGAATAATTTGTTACACGATCAATTTCAAATGACAATTTTTGGTGCAAAATTCGATGTGGTGAAGTTCGATGGAACTGGTAACTTCAGATTGTGGCAAACAAGAGTAAAAGATCTGTTGGCTCAACAGAGAATCTTGAAAGTTTTGCGGGAAGTAAAACCAAATGTCATGAGGATAAAGATTGGGAAGAATTGCAACAACGAGCGGCAGCAACTATATCCTTATGTCTGGCAGATTAGGTTATGTATCACGTAATGAATCTGAAACCTCCAGGGGATGTATGGAAAAAATTGGAAACTCAGTTTATGGTTAAATCTCTGGTGAATAAATTGTATCTAAAGCAAAAGCTGTATGGGTTGAAGATACAAGAAGGTTCTGATCTGACGCAATATGTTAATGGCTTCAATCAAATAATAACAGATTTATCACGGTTTGATGTGACTATTGAGTATAAAGACCGAACAATGATTCTATTGTGTTCACTGTCTTCTTTCTATGAACATTTGGTGACTACTCTTACATATGGAAAAGAAACTATCAATGTTAATAAGATTACTGCAGCATTGTTACATGGGTAATCAGAATCGTGAAAGGAAGAAAATTCTCCACTCATCCAAAATTTGTCTAGTTTTCAGAAAACAACGCCTATAAATAAGAGAGATTAGGAGATAGACTAGGCAAGACTTAAAGAGGGTGGTGAGATGAAAAATAAAGGAATTTGAAATAGGATAGACATGGAAGGTGGTAGATAAGGTAGACAATGAATAGGGAGAAGACTCTTTATGGAAAGGAGTGAAAAGGAGAGGGGGAAGCTAAAAAGGCAAGAAGGATTTGCAGTTGTTGTAGCAGCTACAGTGCCGTGTACTAGGGGCGAAAAACTCCCGTGTCAATTTATCAGTGAACCCATCTCTTTACAACTTAGTTTCAAGTTATTTTCTTCATTTTTTTGTTTTTTTATTTCAACTAAATATGATTATAAGTTGGAATTTGATGGCTTATTTAAAAAATATATACATAACTACTCCAAATAACGATTCAAAATTTATTTAAAAATTTGTTGACTCATGGAGAATATACGAGCTCCTGATGAAATTATGAATTAATGAATACCAAATTTGAATACTTACAAATGCGGAAGCTAAGTTCACGATGTTAACATGCTTCTGGTATAATAGTTTTTTTCTCTCATCATTTGTTTATTCGTCCATGACTTCCTTGATGATCTTCTTGTACTATGACTGCTGAAGTCCCAGTTTGTTGGAGCTCGCCAAGCTCATTTTTATGTAGTATTTTACCGTTTACAGCAGTTAAGAAAATCAATACTTTATATAAATCATTCAATTTTACATAACTGTATCACAATTATTGTTGAAGTCTAAGCCGAAAGGATTTTCTCCTACAGGCGTGCTTCTTCTTAATGCAGTTCATCTAATCATGTGAAAGCCTGTTGTTCCTCCCGGTTATTATGTTTCATTTTTGTCTTTATTCTAGGATGCATAGTAATAAAGAAAGAAATAATAACTATAGATATGAAGTAGTTGTCCAAGATAACACATTTCTTTTTCTTGGTACAGTGCTACTTTGGGATAATGCAAATTGAATATCAGTCTTATATCTCGAGTTTCTAAATCTAATCTTTTTATTTTGTTTGGTCCAAAGTTGTTTCAACAGCTAATATTTTGACCACATTAATTGATTCTTCAAGTCCCTCATGGCTGTTTTAGTAATCAACGCGAGTGCTCTGTAATGTTGTGGTCGGGAATCGTAAAGAGTGTCATTTTTTCTTTGACTTACAAAACTGGTGCGGTTCCACTCAGGTTGATCGAGAATTATTGATTGTTTCCTATATTGTTTTCATCTTTCTCATCCAGCCTCTTCTCAGTTATCTAGGGTTTGTTGTAGGAATTGTTTTTCTCTTCCGTTTAGAGTGCTTGGTGTTGATTTAACTCTATTTGGGCTCATTTGGTTGCTTGTAGATCGAGAATCTATTTTAGAATATTTGACTCGTTTCTGTGTGAAAATATAATATTTAACTCATTTCTGTGTGAAAAATAAAATCACTGCACGTGGTGGCATGTTGAGGGGATTTGTAGCTTTAAAATCAATATTGGCTTCTAACTACATTCAGCCAAATCATAGATCTAAATGATTTTCTCATTTTTCAAAATGTATTTTTAACTTCAAGCAACCTAATGATCCTTTTTTGTTAATCACTTACAATTTCTAGAGATTGTACCTCAAGCTATCATTTTCTTTCTTAATTCATTTATTTAAATTCTGTCCATCCATCCCTGTGCTGCATATTATAGCCTCCATTGACGTTACCAAACCAAATAATATCTAATTTTTAGGGCCTCATTTTTAATTTGCGTTTTTCTCATTCTAAAATGACAATTTCTCACTCTTATCTGACCCACGTGAACCACAAATTGTTTAACATTGTTGTCTTATTCAGCTTGGCTATCGTATTTGTGTGATGCCCAACTCTCGAAGTCCAATTTACCTCTTTGACACTATCTATCTGTCTAAGAAATAGTTTGATTTTTATTTCATGATGTATTTTCTTGCATTGCAATTCTTTGGATCTTTCCAATATCAAACAACAGCAATGATTAGAGTAGTTGCGACCTCCATCACTTTTCCTTTTTTGCAGTATGTTTAATGTTTGCAGAATATATAATAGCTAGGTGTACTTGATATTCTTGATAGATTGAATGATAATTGTCAAATTTACATCCATTAAAGTTATCAATTATGTACTCAATCATGTTTTATTGAAGCCCTCGTTTTCTAAAAATTACTCTATCATTATATGTCTATAAAAGGGTTTACACCTATAATAAATATCTTTTATAAATAGCATGCAACAAGCTGCCTCACTTTGAATATCTTTAAAAACATTTCTAAAACCAATGCAAAGAGACAAACATGACATTAATCCTTGACGGAGTTATGTTGTGAGTTAAGCATTTATATTATAAAGATATATTTTAATATCTACTACTTGTATGGTAAAATCTATTAGAATTTTCTTATAATCTTTGTAGATTTTTTTTTTTCATCTCTAGTTATAAAAGAAGAAATGCATGTGATTTAATGGCTCCACCATTGAAAGTAATTAACTTCAATTCTCATTTATTTACTTGCAACAGTAAATCTAGTACAAAAAGAATGATTTATTGTCACATCTCTAACACCTATTTTTTTACCCACTATGTATCCCCTAATAATTAATCTTTACTAAAATCTGCATCTTCATTCAAATCATCTCATAAATTATACTTTCTCAAAATATACATTTTAGTTGTTTACCTTTTTCATTACTAAACTTCCTTCTGATCCGACATAAGTAGCATAAACACTATACATATTTATCTTTACTTTTTATTAACTTGAAAACAATCACCCAATCATGAGCTCTATTCACCTCAACATCTTTCTTTTAATCGTCCTTCCCTCATTCAAAATTCTCATATTTATTTAGAAAGTATAACATTTTCATACTTGGTCAACCCTCACTATTTCTTTGCTGCAATTGATTTTAGTCTGACACAGGTGATGTACTAGTCATCCATTGCCTACATTTTACCTCAATCAAATTAGATTATTTCCATCATTTATAGGTGATGTATTTTAACTACCACAATAGGATTAAGAAAAGTTAGAAACGCATTAATTCCTCTCTCCACAATCACCTTAAGCCATTGTATCATGAAATGAATTTTGGCATAGAATTCAGAAATGCCTAAGGCTGTTTGGGATCAATTTTGTTTTTTATTTTTTATTTTTTTTTTATTTTTTTCTTTGTTTTTAAAAACATATTTCATTAAAAAGTATGAGAGAGTATAGTTGAACATAGGTTAACTCAACATACAAAGGTTTCTCAAAATCAATTGGATTTATGTTAGGCAAGTCTACTATACAAGTTACACATTTATTGAGAGGTTTGATGGAGAAATACAGTCAGCGTATGGAGGATCTACATGTGATTTTTGTTGATTTTGAAAAAAACTATGATAAGGTATCAAGAGAAATACTTTGGAGAGTTCTAGAAAAGAAAGGTGTTGATATGACTTATATTCAAGTCATTAAAAGTATGCATACTAGAGCTATTACTAGTGTTTGAAAGGAGGATTGACCAAGTATTTTCCTATTTCAGTCAGATTACATCAGGGATTGGCTATAAGTCCATATCTTTTTTCTTTGTTTATGAATGTTCTTACTAGACATTTACAGGAGGATGTACATTGGTGTATGTTTTTTGCTGATGATATCGTTCTAGTGGATAAGACCAGTGAAAATTTTCAGGAAAATTTTAAATTATGTAGGCCAATTTTAATGTCTAAAGGCTTTCGTTTGAGTAGATCTAAAATTGAATATATGGAGTATAATTTTAGTAGTAGATATAGTAGAGCAGTTGTAACAATGGGTGATCAATTCATTAAAAAGAGTGAATGTTTTAGATATCTCGGGTTTATTGTTAAAAGTGATGGTGATATAGATGGAGATGTTATGAGTAGAATTCATGTTGGTTGGTTGAAATAGAGGAATGCATCGGGTCTATTGTGGGATAGAAAAGTACCGCTTAGATCTAAAAGAAAAACTTTCCGAAATGGTGGTGAGACCTCCAATGGTTTATGGTACAGAATGTTGTCTTATAAAAGATAAGTATAAAACTAATTTAAGTCTTGCTGAGATGAGAATGTTTAGGTGAATGAGTGGTTTTACGCTTAGAGACAAAATGTGAAAGGAATATATCCGTGAAAGGGTTGGTGTTGCACCTATGGCAGTGTTGCTCCTATGGCAGACAAGATTAGAGAGTCGTCTTAGATGGTTTGGTCACTTTAAATGTCGATCATCAGATGATTTTGTTAGGAGAGTAGTTGTTTTAAATTTGAATTTTGGTAAGAAAGGTAGAGTTAGACCTAAAAAGGTGGGGCATGTTGTATAAAAAATGATCTTAATCTATTAGGATTAGATGAAAATGTAACACTCCATAGAACACAATAGGGAAAAAGGATTTATGCAGCCGACCCATTTAGTGGGAAAAAGGCTTTGTTGTTGTTGTTGTATTTAAAAACATGTTTGTTTAGTATATTTATTTATTTATTTTTTTAAATAAATTAATATATTTTTGGAAACGCTAACAACTTTTAGACATTTAAAGTGTTTTTAAAAACAACCATATATTAATCAAATATGTCAAACATGTTTTGTTTCAAATCAAAACATAAATAAATAAAATAAAAATAAACAATAGAAAATCAAAATCAAAAGTGATCTCAAACAACCCCTTAAGCAACCTGAGTTAAGCCCTCTCTTTTTTTCTCCCATGGTGACAATGAGGATTTACGCTATAATGTTTGCAAATAATCTCCCAATCTGCATGTGAAATGACTACTAAAATTGAAAGAATAAAAATATTTTTAGAAAACATCGAAATTTATAACCTTTTAATTTTCTGGATCTACAACCAGAAACACTTCAAATACTGTAGGCCTGTCACCTATTTGCAGTTTCTCATAACCTCCATTTCCGTTTTGAAACTCTGTCATGCATAATGTCTATCCTTTTCTTCTTTTTTTTCCTTCCAGGTCATACTAAGCAAAGTTTTATTGGTTGGAACCCCAAACAAAGCATATATTGGGCAACCTGTAGTAACCAATGCTGTAGTCCACGCAGTGGTGGAAGAACAAGTAACATAAGGCGAAGAATTTTTTGTTGCGGTTAACTTCTGCTTTTGCATCACTCAGTTCTATTTATTTTTTCTGTCATTGCTTTCAGGGACTGGACAAGAAAGTTATTGTTTTCAAGTATAAGAAGAAGAAGAATTACAGAAGGAATATAGGTCACCGGCAGGTACTAAAGTCTAATGCGACCTTCTGAAATTTAAGATGAATTACCATAGTTTATTTTAGTAGAACTTGATTAAGCATAAGGTCATTTGGGCTATTATTAACAGCCAAATACAAGGATAAGGATCATCGGCATCAGTGGGTATGAAGCCTACCCCGCTGACACTTTGCCAGAGCCAGAGTCTGTAGCTGCATAGGTTAGTGCTACAATGTCTGATCCTGTTGTTAACTATGTGAAATTTCTTTAAAGTGCTGGACAGTAAATTTTTTCTCGGCTGTTAGAATGAAGTCTAATTCATTTCCTGAGAGTACTTGCCTAGAAATTTCCTGTTTTTTGTGTTTTGCCTTTGATCATGGCTTGCAATTATTAATTTTCTTATAAGTGGCTTCCCATGAAGTTGTCATTCTTCTCTAGTGAGAGTATTAAAAACGATTCCCGTTCAAGTAAATTGTCAAAATAGTCCCCTGACTGTTTAAATTGGGTCATTTAAGTTTTGGAGTTTATAAAATGTCAAATTAGTTCACATACTTTAAATTGGGGTTGAAATAGGAGGACTATTTTAGTGCATATTAAAAGAGTCAGGATTAAATTGACACTTTTATAGACTATGGATTAAAATAACCCTGGTAAAGAATCAAATGACTAAGATTTTTCTCATTTGTATTCAAATGACTATTTCAGCTTTGAATGTTCTAAAAGATGTGAAGGTTTTAGATATATCGGGTCTATTGTTCAAAGTGATGGTGATATAGATGGGGATGTTATTAGTATAATTCAAGTTGGTTGGTTGAAGTGGAGTAATGCTTCGAGTCTATTGTGTGATAGAAAAGTACAAAGTACTGCTTATACTGAAAGGAAAATTTTATAAGATGATGGTGAGATCTGCAATGCTCTATAACACAGAATATTGACCGTTAAAAGAGAAGCATAAAAGTAAGCTAATTGTTACCGAGATGAGAATGCGTAGGTGGATGAGTGGCTTTACACTTAGAGACAATTGTGAAATGAATATATCCGTTATAGGATTGATGTAGCTCCAGTGTTGGACAAACTTATAGAGAGTCGTCTTAGATGGCTTACATTAACGTCGGTCATCTAATGATCCGGTTAGGAGAGTAGATGTTTTAGATTCAACTTATGTTAAGAAAGTCGGAGGGAGACCGAGAAAGACTTGGTATATTGTATAAAAAATGATCTTAATTTATTAGAATTAAATGAAAATATAACACTCAATAGGACGCCATGGAGAAAAAGGTTTCATGTAGGCGACCCCACTTAGTGGGATATATAAAGGCTTAGTAGTTGTTCTTGCATTCTATATGAACTAGTAGTTTTTGAATACTGGTAAACTGTCTTATTCACATCATAGATGAAATTCCATGCAACTACGATGATATTCTTCCGACCCCTGTATTTCTTATTTTTTAATTTTTGAAACCCACTATCGCAACAGTAGTCTTCGACCCAAAGTAGAAAGAACAATTTTGACTACCTTGGCTCATATAATCTAAGGGGATATTGGGTGTGAATATGGATGGTTGGTGAAGGTAGACAGCATTTGCTTCTCCATTCCTATGAAGTTATGTTTTTTAATCGGTCTCCAGCCTTGAATGTTCTATGGGATTTAATATTTTAATCGCAATCAGAAAACTCTAGTCTCTTTTTAGATCGTAAAAATCTTTGATATTTACATGTAAATTCATATATAAACAGCCACGATCTGGTTCTTGAGCTTGAAATTATGAAAAATGCAACAGATTCGAATGCAGATTCAATTATATTTAGTATTTCGAGATCATTTATTTAAATAAATAATATTATTAGTTATCAAAATAATTTAGTGAGCTGAATATTGTTCTAAAATCCTAGGGAGTAAAAAAAAAAAGGTATATCAGTCATTAACTTAAATTATGGAGAAATTCATATCATATGCTGAACATATGAATTGCAAATATGATTGTGTATAGTATTAAACTTTTAAAATAATGTATGTTGGTGTGGTCATAATGTTTATCTTTCATTTGTGTCGAATAACCTTATCATATTTTATTCATTAATCGAAGAGCATTATCTAAGCATAGCATATCTCATTCGTTGTAGATGCATATCACATCAGCATAACATTGTGATAATAGAGTTAACCTAAACAATAATAGAAAAACAAAGTATTATTAGTCATTAACTTAAATTATGGAGAAATTCATATCATGTGTTGAACATATGAATTGCAAATATGATTGTGTATATTATTAAACTTTTAAAATAATGTATGTTGGCGTGACCATATTGTTTATCTTTTCATTTGTGTCTGATAAGTTTATCATATCTTATTCAAATATATATATATATATATATATATATATA